AAGTGTTTGAAGCAGGATAAACCTGTTAACGATGATTTTGACCTTTTGAAGAAATAGAGGTCAAGGTCCATAGTAGGACATCAGTGCTTTTGTTGAGGAAGCTGCCTGTGGACTTAGAGGGGGGGCATAAGGTTTGACCTCCCCTTAAGCGATTCCCAAGGAATGCATTGGGAAATAAATGAATAACACTTTTTCGGGAAAGTGTTCATTTGTGTGGAGTTTTATCTGTGAGGATTGTTGTTATATGTCATTTATTATAAATTATACTCAGTGATTATATTAATTGTGGAGTACATTTTACAGTCTAATAGTATTATAGAATACATTTTAACAATCTATTAGTATAATTTAGCATACGTTGTCGACTTTGGTTTTATAGAACATGCATTTCGAGAGACTGACATAGGCAATGATCTTCTTATTATGTTGACTCAAGAATCCCCTAAAACTGTTTTTATGTAGAGTCCTTAAAACTTTTTGTGCAATCCGTATCACCCCCCCCCCCAAAAAAAAGAAATGTTAAAAAAGGCATTGATTCAAAAGCATTATTTCATTACTGTTCATAAAAAGATATGATCTAGATGTTTGCGCATAAAAACAAATTTATTTTACATTATTTTAGATGAGCAATTTTTGGGGTCAGTGGTATTAAAAATTTCTTCGTATTTAGATTTTGTTTTTCGGAATTCTTCGAAGGATTTAGTTCTTTGGAACACAGTTTAAATATTTATGGATTTATGACACTGCTACTATCCCAGTAAAACTGTGTTATATTTAAGTATTAATTCATTTTTAGGCTCGCTTCTGATTGACCAGTTATTTTTTTCTAAGCTTCTACTAGAAATATTCCAGGTATTAAAGTTTATTTTGAATTTATAATCCACTCAGTTAACTCTGCATTAGCACGACTTGTTTGGATCTGCTTGTAAAGAACTGTATTTAAACAGCATTTACTATCTTCATTTCCCTAAACTTTCATTCTTAAGATTACATTTAGATCATTAAATGTAAATAAGAAAACACAATATTATTAGTAATGATACAAATAATATATACGTAATGACAAAAAATCTCATTACCGGTTAAGGGCCGTCATGCCTTATCAGAAGATTAACTAAGACTCTGAAGAAGAGAAACCTCATCATTTATGTGTAGAAATGATTTCATTTATTATTTGCGTCCCCTATTGGATAAGGCTATTAAACATTAGCGGTAGTTTGTCGTGGCTTCAGTAGCTGGTGACTGGACAGACTGGCATCATGTATACGGGCTTTTTTTCACTTAAATAATAATTCTCCATAAAACGTTCATCTTAAGGCAGATAGTTGTGTTGCCACCATGCAAACATAATCATATAAAAGTCGTTGATGGAATTTCGATGAGTTACTAACACCAGCATGCCTTCTTACGAAACGGTTTATTCAGAATAGAAAAGTTTAGATATTCTTTTATTACCGCAGCGTGTAGAGACATGAGGTTATTTCGAAACAGGAAAGATGAGAAGAAGCAATTCTCTCGCTGGGACTCGAACCACGGACCTCTCGAATACGCGTCGAGCGTGCTGACCACTACACCATGAAGACATGCTAAGAATGCTGGAGAAATACCTTTATAAGCCTTTTATGGATAATTAGCGACATTCTATTTTATTTTTCTTAAAATGAAACTGTACTTGTGCTTTTACTTCTTGTGCTCACAGCTGACTAAAGTTTATCGATATATAATGATACAAATAATATGCAAAATAATGTCATCAATATTCTGCGCTACGTAGCTGTAGAAAAAAATTAGATGATTATTTTAAGTGTCATTTAGTCGTAATCACAACAGTTCCCCATTTTTGTAACTGTAGAATTAAAAAAAGTTTCCATGAGTTGGAAATTTCACGACGTGGCTTGTTAAAATTTTATCTATATATACTCTTGAAAGTTTTCCCTTGTGACCCCTGAAAAATGTCAATCACAAGTTACCTGTGGAATTATGAAGGAATTAATAATGCTGCTCTTCATTTCATTGCTCTAATGTTGCCCTTCTCTTGTACCTGAAGTTTATGTAGAAAACTTATGCTTTTATTCCTTAAAATATCTGCTTTGAAGAGTTGGAAGAATGTGGGCAGGTTGCACATCAAACAGAAAAGTAAGGAATGAATACAGAGCAGGTGCTTTTTTAAATAAAGGGGAATTTACATTGTTCCACACGAACTTGAAAAATAAAAATAAACGAGGTCATGGAAGAGTGCGATGGGGAAAAAATTTCTTTTCGTGGACATGACCAGCTTTTCTGTCTGTGCTGCCTGAGGAACCCCGATAAGAAGACAAGGAAAAAAATATCCGTGGCAAAAAAATTTCGGACTGGGCGTTTTTCCCATAGGAAGAGTGCCAAATTGAGCAAAAATGCAGGATCAAAAATTTTTTTGCTTGCTTTTCGGGGCTCTCCGAGCACCCTGGGAACCTGTTGCTCTCTCCCCATTTCAATACTGAGAAGGGTGGTCGTCTGGCTGGCAGATTCCCTGCTCCATCCCCCGGAATCAGACAGAGATCGTTTTTCGGCTCTTTTGTTGAGGGGTTGCCACGCCATGTGGTGCAAACGAAGGCTGAGTGGGCTGTTGATGAAACTTCTCGCCAAAGCTGGAATGTGTTCATTTGCTTCAGTTCAGAGAGTAACTTGTATAACGTTTCTCTAGTATTTGATGATTGATTCTGGACGCACATGAGAAGTTTTTGTCAGTAATTATTCTCGATTGACGATCCGAATTGCAACTTATTGGCTAATTTGCTACGTTTTTTTTTCAGAATGATTACCGCTTTAACTATGATGAAATTTAATTTTTAAAGAAGCGAATACCTAAGTTGACGAACTGCGAAATATATGATGATACCTATCTAAGTTAGTGAAGGAAGCTATAGAAATCAGGAAGCATCCAGAACGTTCTTATACAAAACTGGATTCTTTAAGATTTCTCTGGCTTCGAGCTCTAATCCAATCTACTAGACTAGGCTTTTTCTCGTTTCTTTAGCAGTAGTACCGAAAGACAGACCTGTACTGCAGAGATCGAGAAAAACGCAGTACAGAAATAAGATTAAGGTAAATAGAAGACGATTATGATACAAAGCTTAATCGATGTGATTGCTGGCATTAAAGACAGCAAGAAGTAATCTGCTTGGCTAATTTGCTTATATACTGTTTTTATTGTTTTAATATCACTGCTAACATTTGTATCTTCAAGGCAGTAAGCTGGTGGTCGAGAAAAATATCATCATTGCCATAGAGATGCTGTCCAATTACGTAATTCGAAGACCGATTATATCAGCTTTTTTATGAGCATCTTGGGAATACTTTGAGCTGTGGGTGGATGGTGTCGGTCTTTTTTGTAATTCTAGTGGACAAATAAATGTGACAGTATCACCGTCATTCTTTTCAAAACATTTTTTTTTTTTTGATTAACCTTGTCCTTTCCGTACGGCTATCGAGATGGATCTCAGACTTTTGAACTGTATTGTGTTTTAATTTTTATTCGTATGCTTTTAAGCTTTCCCTGTTTTTTGAGCTTATTTTATTTGTATTTGCTGGTAATTCGAAGTGTTCTAATCCTTATAATGAAACCAACAAGACCCTATGTGGTATATGGATATATTGCTGATGGCAGTTAATTTGTAATATTTTATCCGACCACATTTTAAATTATTTCAAATATTAAGCTGTACATATTTTAAAATATTTCCGCATTGTCTTATTTTCCCCCTTTCGGTTGATGCATTGTTGGATAGTACATATTTTACAAAGGTTTTCCTGCGGTGATTTCCACCATGCATGGGCCAGAACTGCGCCAAAGAATGATCGGCGATCTTCTTTCTCAACTCATCGCTCCCGCTGTTCAACAATTCACCCTCATCCCTAGAACGCTCTTTTCGGCGCTTTGCCGACAAGTCATGCTTTTATCCCCTTCCTGAAATTTCGGCACCAGATGAATGGTCCTCCCTCCTTTCTTTCCACCCTGACCCCCCTGTGTAGTACTTTCCCCGATTTCTTTCATTGTGGGCTTTTTTCTGGTAATTTTTCTTTCTTGGAATTGGGGAATTGGTAGTTCGCTACCCATGCAGCACTCGGGTTTCTGCTATTACTTGGTGGATTCCTTCCTCCATTTGTGCAGTTTTCGATTTAGATCAGGTTCAAGGTGTGGAATGTGGGGTGTGTTGTGCATTCTGTCTTGGCATGTCGCCGATGAACCCTTTTTCCAACTCAGCTGGCATAAGAATGTTCTTTGTCCTCTCTAACCTGTTGCGCGGTAGGTAAACATTGACCTTTTTCATTTCAGAATTTTGTGTGACCGTTATTGAGATTAATCTCTATTGTTGCCATTGTCGTACAGACAGGCAGATATGGTAGTCAAAGAAATTAATTCCACTCTTTGTAATTCAAAAATTAGACGGGAAGCGATGTATTTTTGCAAAATAATATTGTACTTGGTAAAGAATTTTAGTGATCGAGTGATCTTTGCCTCATTGATCTGTGAATCATTAGTTTCCGAAGTATTCATGCATTCGAAGGCTATTAGACAAGAATAACCAATCTGACATTACCTAACTTCTCATGTTATAGTCAACGAAATTAATTCTTTGCTTTTTAAAATTTGAAACTAGAACGAGATTATGGTTAAAGAAAGAGGATGTTTTCGGAATAGCCTGAAGATTAGCGAAATAGGGTGACTTAAATCGATTGGTGGATGGATTTTGCAGTATAACAAAAGAGTTAAATTAAAATTTTTTTACATAATTGCATAATTTAAGGCAGCTCCAGTGTCAAAGAACTTGCTTTTTGAATCATGGTTTAAATGTTGGGTAGCTGCCTAGTAACGATGCTGTACGTGCGAGCACACCTTGAAAAGCATTTGTTATATTTATTTGCCATTATAATTTTTTTCCCTCGTTTTGAAATATTAACAATAATAAATTGCAGAGATAACGTTTTATGCCCTTTGTTAATAGGTTGTTTTATTTCAGAGCTGGGAACTTCTGGTTTTAAACACATTAAAGTGGGACCTGTCAGCCATTACACCTTTTGACTTCCTTGGCCACATTCTAAGGAGATTACCTATTTTCCGGGAGATGGACCTTGTTAAAAGGCACGCGCACACATTTATAGGACTTTGTACAACAGGTGAGTACCTATCCTTTCCGTTGTAAAAAACTCATGTCTCTGTGACAGTCGATGAAAACAAGGATTCCGTTTTTAGTTACCATGAACGTTTGTCTTTCTATTCATTTTTTCTTTTTTCTTTTTTTCTGGCTCACGTGGATAAACATAGCTGATCACTGACATCACCGTTTTTAATCATAATAATGCATATGGTAATTATTAGCAATTTTTAAATATACCCTTTGAAGGTGTATATCTTTTAAATTTTACTTGTCTTTTGCGATCAGCTTGAGTTGATATTATCTGGGCAATCGCAGTAATCGATTAATTTTCTGATCTACTTACTTTAAATGGTCAGTTTATGATTTTTTACTGAGGAGGGTCAGTCGTCCATCACTATTATTATCCAGATTCCTGTTATCTCTTTTTTTAATTGCCGGTATTGTTGACACATTTCTTCAGAAAATGAGCGCATTGTTCATAAAACACATGATCATGATGATTCTGTTATTAAGACCGTCAGAATCGATCTGTTTCTAGTTTCAGTTTATTTCCCTGATTTGCAGGCTAATTTTTGGTTTCTTCTGATCATCAAGGCTCTCACGTGTATAAAAAAAGAGGAAGATTATCCTTTCGCGCTTATTATGTTTACTGTCTAAAAGAATGAATTGAGATGCAGGTCAAAATTCTCTTTGTTTAAGAGTATTAAAAAGCTTGCAAAGAAGAATTTTAGAGCGAGAATATGGCAGGAAAATAGATCCTACTTTCGTCGAGCTGCAAACATTTAGATTGCTGGATCATTACTGGATTACAGCACAAGAGAATATAGAAGGAGTTCTCTAACCCATTCCATCTCCCTGGCATGACTGAGAGTGAACGAATCCTGCGACGAGCTATCATGTATCATTTTTTTAATTCGGGCGTCGTTTATAAAAATGAGTTTTGGAGTGTAGCAGTCCTTGCCTGTAATCGAACCAGTTACTATTCGATGTATAATATTCAGTAAATCACAAAGGCACATAAGTGGAATGTTTTACAAGTGCACTATTATAAATATTTCAGACTAAACGTAGTTCGTAAAAGTTTTACAGCCAGCTTTTTTTTTTTTTTTTTTAATTGAGAAACTGCGTTTGTGATTTGAGAAGATTCGTAGTAACATTTAACTCGTTTGTAATGCGACCATTTATCATGAATTTCATCGACTGTCTTAACATTTGGTTTAAATTATTAATTTTCTTGTTCGCATCTGCTTTCACGTAATGTATTGTGAACCGCCTTTCAATTATGCGTCTTCACTTTATTGTTTATGAATTCCTGGAATACCTCCCTAATCTGGGAGACATCCCCTTATTTTCAGATCATATGTTTTTCAGGTAATGCGTTGAAGATACCTTCAGAAAGTGATAAACAAACAAATCGCATCGTGATGCCAAACAACAAAATATCCCTTACACCTTAGATAATGAGAAAGGGGGGCGCATTGGTTTCTTTCATGCACTGTGCTGTTCCAGTCAAAACACCAGGAACCTGAGGAAAGCGAGGGGGTGAATGACGAAAAGGAGCAAGAAGCATTTGACGTGAAGAAAAGTTAGCGGAACTGCATTAAAAAAAGTTTAGCGAAGTGGATGGGGGTATATCACGTGTGTAATTTAACAACTTTTAGAAGAAAGGGGGAAGGGGAAAAATTTCTTCAGTAAGTAGATAGCGGCGGACGTGTTTTAATGATAGTTAAGCAGCAATAATGATTCGTGTCTCACTTTCCATCTAATTGAACGTTAGGAGGTTGGTATGTTTTTCATAGTCGGTCGGAAAGCCTCTAACCAGTTATCAATAAGGGGCGCCAGAACTAGGATCAGTAAATGGAAAATGATAGATAACAATGTACTTTGCAAAACTACCGTGGTTGTGAAGTGTGTTATAAGTGATAAAAAATTGCTGTCATGAATAGAAATTAATCCTTTTATTTTAAATTTTTAATTATTAATATTAATTTAGGAGTAATAGTAAATTCTATTAATTAAAATACGGTAATCCAGCCGTTATAGATGTATTTGCGAGTGTGCGCTAGTGATTCAAGTTTGTAAAATAAGGAATTATGTTTGTAATATTAAGAACAGGAAATTCTCAGCTTGCGAACGTATGTTCCCCTCCCCTCCCCGTTTTTGAAAGCTATGAAAACGAAGAAAGTTTGATTACGCTAGTCATCTTGCCTCCGAGCACAACTTCATCGGCAACATACATCTAGAGGGTGCTCTGTCCACTCTGTCAGTCCCCGTCACGAGAACTGAATAGAGTCAAGAACTGAACCGAGGACTTGGTCGGTGATCTCGACCTAGCTCCACAACAGCCGAAGGAACGGACATGAATGTACCAGTACGGTCCCTCCCAAGCCCGAACCAACCTCCGAGTGAACGGGGGCTGTAGTCCTGTGAAGATTGGTTATATACTCCAGTGGTTGAGACTGCTTAAGTACAGATCCTAGCCAGTACTTCTCAGGAATTCTCCTGAGTCAACCTTCCGTGGGGACATGATAATCTACAATCAAACTGAACCCGAACTGCGTCAGCTAAATAAAACTTTGGTTAGGATAAATAATTCAAATAAACCGAAAGGAAACGCTAGGGTGCAAGAGAATATTATGGGATACTTCTATGCAACTGATAGCTTAATCAGTTTATATGCTCACTAAATAATTATTGTTTTGCTCTTTGAAATAATTTTTTGCTTTGCTCTGTAGAATAATTGTCTGAGGGAAATTTAAAAACACGATTAAAACTTAAAATTCTTTTAGAAAAGGCGTCCTTTTTTGTACTGTGTGAAACTGGTTCATTCATCCATGTAGAAGTTCAGTAGGTATTAAGAAATGGAATAAACCTGAACTCTTGCTTTGCTTTCAAAAAATAGAAGGCAAAATTTATATTTGTGGTAATCTGATGAATAATGTAGCCGACCGTTATGTGAAAGTATGCTATGGGTCCAGCTTTGGGTGGCACAAGCGTAATTGTTAGAAAAACGATTGATAGGGATTTATGCGACAACCGAAATGATATTAAATATGAAGCAGCAATTACTATGGATAGTGATAACTGAACTGATATGACTGGTTATTCTACAGATAATTTATCAAAAAGGATTTCTTTTTGAGAGGGGATGATGAAGTGTGTAATACCACATCCTTATCAAATTTTAGCTTTTATTAAAATTTTAGCCAACAGTAGTAATTAAAAATCAAAACTGACAAAGAAGAAATTAGATAGTCAGAGTACAAAGGAATTTGTTTCAGATAAATCTGCTTTTCTACTTGCTGATACAACTTATGGTTGAATTTCGGAAATTACGTTGAGGTTTGGAATCTGAAGAAGAATAACCGGTAATTTTGTTCGCTGGGAAAAAAAAAAAAAAAGAGAGAGAGAATTTAAACTTCAAGTTTTGTTATCGTAATTCTGAAAGCTAGAAATTCATTTTTATCGCACATCATTTTCCGGATTTTGCACTTTTTCAAGGCATCATGTCTTATAAGCAGCATAAACTTGCTGCATCATGTTTGTTTCGTTGTCTGAACAATTTACTGCCGCCTGTAATAGACTTTCGCCGTAAGGTAATTAAGCTTGTAATAAAGACTGCACTAATCCTCAATTTGGGGGCTAAACCACGATTTACAATTTGGTGATGTGTAGTTGTTCCCTGGACGATGTCGGCATCCCTTGATTTGGCGGGTCCACGGATAACTAGACGGTGCATAACCACCGACTAGTCCACTCCAAATTACAAACGTCCTTACATCCGGCTACAGATGAGGAAGGGGAACCCCTCGACACCCCCTCCCCATCTGTGTCTCATTTATTTCTTATTATTTTTATTATCCTTCTGTACATATTTCCTCACCCGCTTCTTCAGCTTTTCTCACGATCTGAGGGATCGCATTCTTGCAGCAGCAAGGAGGGCGGGGTCTTGGCGAGAAATTTTTTAGTAATCGCCCTCTACCTCGGTCCTGGTAGTACCCGATTGGTTTGGGATGTTTTTCACCAGGGTGTGGTGTGTTGGAGATATTAATTCTGAGGAATATGCGATGCCTGTTTGTTCCATGATTTAACATACTGATATATCGTGTTAGAGGAATATAGATGCCTTTACTGGCTAAGTTCTGGTGGCAGGGGTGCGGTCCCTTTTACGTGCTAAAAAGTTATTGAATTATTTATCATATTTGATCATCAGCGGGGGTGTTGTCGTAGATTTTGTTTTGATATTTTTCTGCTTGCACATTTCTGCATTGCCGAAATTTGTTAGTTTACACAGCTGATTTGTGTCTCAAAATTTCCAAGTGTCGAGTTTACCAGTGGACGACTATCCAAAGCGACGAACCGGTGCTATTTTACTCCAGGTTGGATACTTGGTACCTGAACGTATGGGCCACATGTGATTTCCGCGATATTTCCTCTGCATACTATACTATAAATGCGAAACACTAGTTCTCTTTGGGTAGCTTTACTGGAATGCATCTATTCACAAAGAGCCATTATTCCAGCCTGAAGACATATTATTCGAATTATATATTGATTCTGTTCTTCCTATTTTTTTAACAGAATATGACAATTTTAACCTAAAAATGGACGAGCTCTTCTTTAGTTAACTAAAATAACTACGTAAAAAATTTGAGATAGCGTGATTAAGAATCGGTAACGTAAAACAGCCTGCAACCCGTCTTTTCCTGCTATAGGATATTGCATTGTTATTGCTTTCGGGGAAGCACACAAAGATATTCAGTTCATATGGAATATTTGTGAGGCATAATTAGGCGAGGAGCCAAAACTTCTGAACACTGGTATTTCACCCCGTCTTTGATCTTAGTGTCTTTAAGGTATTTAGGTGATTGTAGTGTAAAATTGTGAGTTAAAAAATCAAGCCCGTAATGTCGAGGGGCTTAGTGCCGATTGAGCCCTTTCCCAAAAGAGCCTTAATTCTCTTGTTCCCGTTTGAGCCTTAGAGGGAAGTATTCAGTAGTTTTATTCCACTTGAGCTCG